TGTGTGTGTGTGTGTGTGTGTGTGTGTGAGAGAGAGAGAGAGAGAGAGACAGAGACAGAGACAGAGACAGAGACAGAGACAGAGACAGAGACAGAGTTTGAACTTTAAGAAGAACATTTCACGTCTCCGTAGGTAGGACAAGGAATATATCCATCGTAACTTTTGTAGTTTTATCGACCACAACATACCTATATTTCCATGCCTAAAATGAAGAGGGTGTTCTGTGAATGTTAAGTCAGGAAATCTTGAAGAACTTGACAATCTTGGCGGTTTACAGTTACAGGCATTGAAGATGACCGTTTGTAATCAGTTGTCATAGCTGTTGAGTGACAAGCGGATGTGACCGAGTGGGATGCCTCTTCCAGGGTGGCGGTAGAGCCACGCTGGCTGCCTGGTGAGCAGCAGCCTTCCGGGGCCTGGGGGAAAGGGCTGGAGTTTTGTCCAAGGCCAGCGCAGAAGTAACAAAGTAGCTAAGTGCAGGTACAGGGCAGGCTCCTCTGGGAGCTCAGGGTGCTGGTCCCGAGGCCCCGTGAGATTGCAGGATTGCATGCTGTTCTGAGTGCCGCTGAGCACTCTGCCAATGCTGTCACGGGCAGAGCTCCGGCCACCACTCCCCGCCCTGAGGCAGCAGGGATGACCAGAAATCCACACTGCTTCTGAGCCCCTTACAGGCACAGCTTCCTCCTGCACCCATGTGCCGGAGCTGCCTGGCAAATGCTGACTCCAGCGCTTCAGCTCCATCCTGGCTCCGTCCCCCCGTGCCAGGAACCTTGGGGAATAGACAGGGATTTGGCAAGATTCCTAGGAAATGGATGGCGCCCCAGTGAGCATTGTGGATCGCGTCCCCCAGTGTTGCCAGACACACGCGTTGCTGTTTCTCACTCTTCCTAGAGAAAGGAGGGCCATTTTGGAGCAGCTCTTTAAATGGAACGGAGGGGAGACGGTTCCGCCATGCTCAGAACTTCCTAACACAGGAAAGAATTCACTTTCCCAAAACTTCTTCTTGGGTGAGAAATCATGAAAATCTGGCGTCTGAATTCCCCCGACTTTTCAGACTTAGCTGAGGCAGAGAACGGATCCGTTGCCTTATTGACTGCTATCATTAGTTGGAGGTGAGGGACCCGAGGCCTCTCTGTAGCAGCGAGCTCGTCTTCTGCCTGCCTGTGTATTACCCCTCTATCATTTTTTTAACTCCCTCTCTGACTCCTTTGATATGGTAATGATCTTGCACAAGAAAAGCCATTTTTATGTGAGTGCTTAAGGAATTAAAGGTGAGAGAGAAGATAAAGGGTGTTGAGAAAAATGACAGTTTGTCATTAAACTATAAGTGAGTGTAGCCCTTGGGATGACGAAGCGATGGAGCAGGCCAGAGGGAGCCCAGGGCTTGGACTGCCCGTGCCTCTGGCAAGCGCAGGGGACAGTTCCTAACCGGCTGGCTTAGCGCTGGCCTAACAATGTGTGCTTGCCAGCGGATTGATTTCCCTCTGCCCTCCACAGACCTGGCTGCAGCGAAGCCCTGTGTCCTCCACGTGATGCTGAGCCGAATCAGATTTTCCTTTTAGTTGTTCGATCCCATTTTCCTTCCTCGAGCTTAGAAGGCACACTTGGGACTGTATAGTAATTGCCTCCCCACACTGGACTGCTGATCCCTTTATTGGATTGGCGTAGGGTTTCCGAGGACTCTGTTTAACAGGCAGTGAGTCTCAGCAATGCAAACAGCTCCCGTGTTTAAACAAGCATCCATTAGGCCGGGGAAACAAGGCGATGCCAGCCCATTTGGTGCGCTGGGGTGCCGACGGCTGGAGGTGAGCAGGGCAGCGAGGCCCCCACTGGAGCCAGACAGGATGGGGGCTCCAAGGAGAAACGCAGGATTCCTGGTGTAGGAGATGGAGCCCGTTCTCTCTGGGTTTCTAGAAGAGGAAGGTGAAAGGGGAGGGGACTGGAAGCGTTGTGGCAAGGGACACGTGCAAAACTCATTAATATCTCATTATGTTAGAATTGCCATCTCCCCACAGATTGCCGTTAACATTGGCGGTGGCGGTGAACGGACCCGAGGAAAGCAGCCCCCACCCCCCAGCTTCATGCAAGCCCCGGCAAGCTCCCCACGCCTGTTTTGCACCAAGGGAGTGGTGGTGTTGGATTTGTGAGGGAAGGCTGTGAGGAAAACCCCACAGGAGCACTAGCAAGCCGCTTGGGGGAGGGAGGCAGACAGAAAACTGTGGTTTGTAAATACACAAAGTGGCCCGCTTCCAGTGTGCCAGCCCGAGTGGAGGGGGAAAGGGAACAGGCAAAAATCAACACATCGCAGCCGCGTCAACCCCGGCCATCCTGAGGCCTGGAAACGGGGGTGAGGGCTGTGGGGCGGGGGGGTTGACTGAACTCCTGATGGTCAGAAAGAAATGAGAGGCACACTAGATCAAAAGAGAGCAGAGAGGGGAAACGGGGTTCAGCCAGAGAAAGTGGGAGGACTGTGTTCCCAGGTGCCTCAGTTGGGTAAGTGGAGACAAAGAAGATTCTTTGTCCTCAGTGTCTACAGCTCTGACCTGGCTGGGTCCCAATCAGTGCAGTCTCGCTGAGGAGGTAAGTACCCCACCCCAGGGGTAGCTCTGTGCCCATTTTCCAAGCCCAGCCTCTGCACAGCACTCACCCGAGTGGCACCCCAGGATGCCCGGGCTGGGACTGGGGCCTTAGGGATGGGAAGTTGGAGCCCTGCACCTCCAATGGCAAGGTCCCTGCAGACCTTCCATTCTGTTGTTACAGTGTCAGATGTGTGTCTGTCTGTGTGGACACACCCACATCCTCCCTCCCTTAACAAGAGACAGTCATGTAACAAGATGTACAAAGTGTAACAAACAGCCTGTAGATTTTGTTAGGAAAACACCTTAGAGTCATTTCATCAATATTCTTTTAGGTTGTTCATTCCTGCCTTTTGTTTTGTCTTTTTTTTTTTTTTTTTTTTTTTGAGATGATGTTTTAGAGTAGCCTGGAATGCACTACATACCCAAAGATTCCCATGCTTCCACCACCTCCCCAGTGCTGGGATTCCAAACACACACCCCCAAGCCTGGTTTATGCAAGGCTAAGGATGGAACACAGAGCCATGTTAGAAGAGTGTTTTACCAACTGAGTTACATCCCGGAGTTAGTGTTAGGTCTGGAGTGCCCTAGTTTGCTTTCTACCTCTGGGATAAACACTGTAACCAACAGCAACTTGAGAAGGAAGATGTTCTTTTGAAAATCTTACATCTGAAGGGAAGTCAGGGCAGGAACTCAAGGCAGGAACTGAGGCGGAGGCCATAGCAAAACTCTGCTTCCAAGCTTGCTCAGCCTGCTTCTTATTAATAAAACCTGCCCAGGGATGGCACCACCCACAGTGGCTGGGCCCTCCCACATCAATCCTTAATCAAGCAAGTACCCCATAGGCTTGCCTACAAGCCAATCTGATGGAGGCGTTTTTTCTCAGTTGAGGTTCCCTCCTCCAAGGTGACTCCAGCGTGTGCAAATTGACAAAAAAAAGAAAGGAACGAAACACAGAAAATAACCAGCACAAGGAATCCTTATTTCCACCTTGGACCCTCTAACTTGGACGTTCTGGTTCTAACACCATTCACACAGCCACAAAGGGACACATACATAGACACAGCCCTTGTCCTAGGACCAGTCAGGGGAGGAAGGAGTATAGGTGTGTGACTGAGTTACTATGACATGATAAGATCAGTTCCCAAATATGGTTTGTGAAAACCCTGAAGGACTTGCTTCGATCTGACTTCAGACAATATTTTTTAAAGATTTATTTTCATTATTTATGATATGTGTGGATCTATGTAAATGTTTATGGACATATGTGTGCAGGTACCCTTGGAGGTTGGAAGAGAGTGTCAGAGCCCCAGGAACTAGCCACTGTGAGCCATTTGACATTGGGTCCTAGAAACTGAGGTCTGGTCCCCAACAAGAGCAGTGAACACTCTTAACTGCTGAGCCATCTCTCCAGCTTTTTAAGATAATTTTCTACTAAAATATGGATTATTCATTAACTTTCAAAAAGACAAAAAAGTTAATGTCATCATTGTAAGCTGTTTGTGTTCCTTTGTGGGGATAAATAACTTGGCTCATACTGGTTGTTAGTTTGTTATGTACAGGAGTGCCTGTAATGAGCATTTTAAAATTAATGTATTTGGTAATCACAATCAAGTTTATTTGGGTTTGAAAAAACAGTTAGGGTGTGCAAATACTGCTGAGAAACAAATTTAACAAGGCTCTTTTATTTTCAGTGTGGTCTCTATGGTAAAAATGCTAAAATATGACCTTCTGTATCTTAAAATACATTATTCTTTTGACAATGAAGCTTTGATGCAATAAGCAAGGATAATGAGAACAAAGTCAGAAAATGGCTTTGTGTCAGGAACATTTACTTCCTGTTGTTCACATATTGACGTTACCGAGCTTAATTTCAGCAAACACACAATCAGAAGGAAGACCCCGTAGTTCCAGTGAACAAGGCTTCCGGGGCTTAAACTCTTGCAACAGGTCCAGGTTTGGGGTGGCGCACAGCCCACAAGATGCCAGACAGTTCCTTAGGTACTGATTCCTTCTGCTCTGTCCTTCCCACTGGCATGGCCAGGACCCACGTAGAGATTTGCACTTCCCCAGTCAACCGTTCCCAACATCTAAACACACACCCGGCACAGCTCCCTGGGCTGCCTGCCTCTCTAGGAAAGAGAGAGTGAAAGTTAACTTTCATCGCAACTCCCACAAAACAAAAAAAAGCCGTGACATCCAAATTGCCCTTCTGAAGAAAGGGGGCTCGTGAGACAGCGGAATCGCAGCTCAAAATAAAACGGGATTTAATGTTTGGTTGAAAAGAAAAGGTGAATTTCCAGCTCCTTCCAGGCTTTTGCCATGAATAAAACTCGAAAATGAAATATCAGAAAATCCAAGATGAGATGGTACTTAGCTCCTTCATCCCTCTCCGGTCCCCCGCCTGCAGAGAGGCGTATCTAAACCATCCCAGATGGCTGCGCTATTTTTAAAGCTCTCCAGAGAAGGAGTCTCTCCCACCTCCTCAGTCACCCGTCCCAGAAGCTCTTGTTCCTCACTGCCAGAATATTTTTTGAGAGCCCCTGGGGGGGAAAAGACAACTGTCTTCAAATTGGGACCCTTTAGGATTTTACCCCGTGGTACAGAGGAGGAACCCGGAGGGAAGTGTGGGCAGTATCTTTCTCTCTCCAGTGAAAAAGAGTACTCTCTGATCTTGGGATTTCAGTTTTGTGAAGGAGCTTGTCAGGGGTCATTCCAACATTCTCTTGGGCTTGTGATATGTACAGCACTTTCGTAAGGATGAAGGACTGAGTAAATATTCATGCTTAGGACTTCGAAGGAGAACATGGTCACATTTACACACACACACACACACACACACACACACACACACACACACACACTCCAGACTGGTTCATGCGATTGTTCATTCATTCATTCATTCCCCAAATACTTCCTGGATACCGCTCAGATGTTGGCTGCCTGAGACTCAGACAGAGAAGAAAGTAAAACAGACAAGGTCCTATTTCAGAGAGCAAGGTAGAGGTGCCTGAGGAGCAGCCCTCAAGGTTGTCTCCTGGCCTCTACATGCCTTACTTGGGGGTTTCACCGAAGTTTGATTCCAAAGGAATTCTGTAGCCATTCCCTCCCTGTCTCAATAGCCTCCCCCAAAATGTATTTAAGATGAAGAAGAGGTCAGGATTTGTTCAAGGTAAACCCGTGTTCCATTCAAGCTGTCTTGTCCCTTGGAGTGGGGCATCAAAGGATACCCCAAGTGCTGTTTAGTCTCCAGCTTGACAAGGTACTTGGGGTGGATACACACCCCCTTCTGAGATGAAGCAATGTGGGAATCTATCAGTTC